TTTTAAATTTTGTGGTTTGATGTTTTATATCAGCAATTTTGTACAAAGTTTTAATTTTAGTCAATGTATCAAAAAATGAATTTCTGTGGATGTAGAACATTCAATACCTTTGACACTTTAAGTGATCGTTTTTCTGGCTTGTGCTGTACAGAATATTCATTTTTGATTTTCCAAAGATTGCACTATACAATTGTTTTTCTGCTTCTTGCTGTGCGAAAATATTTTTATTTGAATGTAAATGTTTTCTAACTCTAGCTGTAATGAGTTTTTTGGGAACAATTTTATGTAAACCAGTTTTTTTTTTAATATCAAAATAATTTAAAGTAATTATCTGTATAATGTGTTGTGTATTTATCCATATATACAGTGTAAAATCTAAATTTAGTCTTACTTTTGGGTTTTCAAAAATACATCACTGTAATAAGCAACTAATAGGGCACCACTGTAATCAGGCAACTAATAGGGTATCACTGTAATCAAGCAACTAATAGGACGTCACTGTAATCAGACAAATAATAGGACATCACTGTAATCAGGCAACTAATGGGACATCACTGTAATCAAGCAACTAATTGGCATTACTGTAATCTGGCAACTCATGTGACATCACTGTAATCATGAAACTATTAAGCGTTACTAAAATAAGGCAACTAATCGACATTACTGTAATCATGCAAATAATAGGGTATCACTGTAATCAGGCAACTAATCGACATTACTGTAATCATGCAAATAATAGGGTATCACTGTAAGCAGGCAACTAATTAGCATTACTGTAATCAGACAAATAATAGGGTATCACTGTAAGCAGGCAACTAATAGGGTATCACTGTAATCAGGCAACTAATCGACATTACTGTAATCAGGCAAATAATAGGGTATCACTGTAAGCAGGCAACTAATAGGGTATCACTGTAATCTGGCAACTAATCGACATTACTGTAATCAGGCAAATAATAGGGCATCACTGTAATCAGACAAATAATAGGGCACCACTGTAATCAGGCAACAAATAGGACATCACTGTAATCAAGCAACTAATAGGACCTCGCTGTAATCAGGCAAATAATAGGACACCACTGTAATCAAGCAACAAATAGAACATCACCTCAATCAGGCAAATAATAGGGCATCACTGTAATCAGACAAATAATAGGGCACCACTGTAAACAGGCAACAAATAGGACATCACTGTAATCAAGCAAATAATAGGACCTCACTGTAATCAGGCAACTAATAGGACATCACTGTAATCAAGCAACTAATAGGACCTCACTGTAATCAGGCAAATAATAGGGCACCACTGTAATCAAGGAACAAATAGGACCTTGCTGTAATCAAGCAAATAATAGGACCTCACTGTAATCAGGCAACAAATAGGACATCACTGTAATCAAGCAACAAATAGGACATCACTGTAATCAAGCAACTAATAGGACATCACTGTAATCAAGCAACTAATAGGACATCACTGTAATCAGGCAACAAATAGGACCTCGCTGTAATCAGACAACTAATAGGACCTCACTGTAGTCAGACAAATAAAAGAACATTACTGTGATCAGGCAAATGATAAGACACCACTGTAATAATACAACTAATTGGCATTACTGTAATCAGGCAAATGATAAGACACCACTGTAATAATACAACTAATTGGCATTACTGTGATCAGGCAAATGATAAGACACCACTGTAATAATACAATTAATTGGCATTACTGTAATCAGGCAAAAGGTAGGACATCACTGTAATCGGGCAACTAATGGACAATACTGTAGTCAGGCAACTAATAGGTCATCACTGTAATCAGACAACTATTGGGCATTACTGTAATCAGGCAACTAATGGGGCGTCACTGTAATCAGACAAATAATAGGACATCACTGTAATCTGGCAACTAATAGAACATCACTGTAACCAGGCAACTCATGTCGTATCAATGTGATAAGGCAACCAATAGGGCATCACTGTAATCTCACAACTAATCGACATCACTGTAACCAGGCAACTCATGGCGTATCAATGTGATAAGGCAATTAATCAGCATCACTGTAATAAGGCAACCAATAGGGCATCACTGTAATCTGACAACTAATCGACATCACTGTAATCAGGCAACTTATCGGCTTCACTGTAATCAGACGAATAATAGGACCTCTCTGTAATCAGGCAAATAATAGGACATCACTGTAATCAAGCAACTAAAAGGACATCACTGTAATCAGGAAACTAACAGGACATCACTGTAATCAGGCAACTAATAACATATCACTGCAATCAGGCAACTTATGAGACTAATATCCAATATGATTCTCCTGTAAAACCAAGTGATGCCCCTGTAATAACCAACTGTGCAGAGTGGTACATCTACTGATCAGAGTGATGCTCTATCAGCTCAAAGTTATACCTTCGACTGGTCAGAGTGATGATCCCATTGCTGTTAAAAGTGATGCTCCAAAAAATCAGATTAATTCACAATTGATTAGGGTGATCTCCTCACTTTTAAAAGAAGTACCTTTGACTAATCAGAGTGATTCTTGAAAGTGATGCACCAAATAATCAGAGTGATATAAACTGATTTGGGTGATGCCACAACTAATCAGAGTGCTGCCCTCAATGTTAAGAGTGATGCCCTCGACTGATTACAGTGATGCATAAACTCACATACTTATTGACCAGAGTGATTCCCCTTCTGATCAGTGATGCCCCTTCTGACCAGAGTGAGCCTA